ATCATCTTCCTTTATGTTGGCTCTATTATGGATTAAAAACTAAAATATTTTGTCTTAGTTTTCATTTTTACTTTTGTTTTCATGAATTTAATATGTTATCAGATGGGATGTTCTAATTCAAATTGACAAAGTTAACCACTATCAAAATCACACATACAAAAAGCATTTTAACTATGTCGTTTTATGCATGTATTTCACAACTCCAACGTATTGCGGGCATAAAACTACAGCAGATGACATGAATGAGTCAAACAAATCCTGGACTAGACACCTTTTTTTGAAGAGAAATAATTAGTTAATTACCCTTGCATAAAAATGCAAATTAAAGAGACATTCAGTCTTAAAATCTAATTTAAATCCCAATAGTCAAACTTCAACTGACATATTTTGAGTAAATTTCGATAGCAAGATATTTAGCACATGTCCGATTTATCAAAAAAGTTGATAAATTTCTATGTTAAAGTTAATAATTAATTTAACCATACATTTCATAGTACCTACAATTTTTATTAAATTTTTAACCATACATTTCATCGACTTTTAGCTAAATCAGAAAGGGGCTTGATAAATAAAGGTCATAAATTGAATTGATAATGTGATTAATAATTGCAAAATAATTAAACCATTTCAACACAGTTACGAGCCCAAGGTCCAACCCAGCCCGATGTCACGACATAAACGGGTTTATGACATAAATCTGTTTTTAGTTAAAACCACATTAGGTGCCGTATTGTTGTTAGCTATAAAGTACATACTTAAAGAAGGGGATTGGAAAAGACCTTCTAAAGAAAATAAATGAAAACTTGACTTGCGAAGTGATATAAAACTAGAAACAAAGAGCTAGAACTCATGTGGTCTTTAGCTAGATTTGGGCATCATGCATCGCATAAGATATCTGGTCCTTTTGTCGTTCGGTCCGAAGTTATTGTTCCATTAAATTGCGACAAACTATTATCCCATGCTTTCGCTGGAATTTTAATATGCTTCATCTCCATATGGATCAAAAATCTCAACAGCATAAATTTTATCTTCTTACTAAACTAATAAAAAGAACTAGTTGCCTAGAGGTCTTTGTGTTCGACCTACTCGATGTACATAGTGGATTCACCATTACATTAATTGTGCAGTCATCCGATCCTATGTAACCCATGTTATTTTAAATTTTTTTTCCTTAAATTTTATGTTTTTCCTTGGACACCCACTTCCTTGATCGGCTAACCCAATGCACCAAGTCTTCCATAGTGTATTGCAGCCTTGGACTAATTTTCACTTGATAGCACTTGAAATGGTTTAGGATCCCTGGCTCTTCATTCTTGAAAATTTGCATAAGAAACACTTGGATTAGAATATTATGCATCTCTGCCCCTGTATTTTCCGGTTTTAGAAAACATGCCCAGAATTTTCTATAATAGTAAAAGGGTCCCTGAATATTCTGAAATCTGTGATTCTGCCCCCAGAAATTTTAGTTGTTGCAAATTAGTCCCTAAGTTTTCTATTTTCTGTTAATTAGTCCCTGCCAATTGCCACCATGTCATGCAGCCTCTAGCTGCAAAAACCTGGCTAAAGCTGAGCTAGGTAAGCAGCTCGAACAGGAAAATTCGAGCTTGGCTAGTCCTATTTCCACCCCTACATAGAATTTCTAAACAATACATTGATCATTATGTGACCTAAAATATTAATCCTCGCATTTGGAGAGGGTTGCTAGGTAACTAAATTTCATCTCAAAAGGTTAATTCATTATGCAAAACAATTCAATTTCTTATAGTTACATTATCTACTCCGTATCTAGTTACTGTTAGATTTTGTCTGCAGATTCTAAGGGATTAACAATACCCTAACAAATGGAGTACCACATTATCTCAGATCCTTAAATGATAATTTATGTGTCACTCTTCCCTAAAATAGAAAGGATTACAATCTCCATCAAGGGACAACTTTCCGATGTGTCACAAACCATTATGTTGGTACAACATCTGTGTTGAGAGCAAACTGATGTTTTTCCTATTGCAATCCTACTTGAGTCTGACCCCCCACATTCAATTGAAGTTTGGGATTCGTCTTGTAAGTCTACATGGCTAAATATTTTGGCCTCAACTCTAATACTAGTAGGATATTAGGGCTATGTCCCAAAAGATTAATCGATTAGGTACAGCATTCCAATTCTCAGAGTTGCATTATCTACAATATCTTTAACAATATGGAATTCTTGTTATTACTTTTCCAATAGATGAGTGGGTGGGAAAAGAAAATTGGTATGGGCGGTGGCGCTCAAATTTTTAGTGATTTTATAAGGCCAATAAATATGACTCAATTCAAATCAAATGAAAACTTGAATATGAGATGGATACTTGGGTCTAATTAAAAAAGATGTATTTGTGAGCACCAGATATGTCACTCACTCAAAACACATACTGCAATCCCGAATCCTTAGGCACAATCTTGTAGAAGAGTTGGAAAAGGTACTCATTCTCTACATATGGGCCTATGCAATTTACAAATGTTATTTCAATGGGGTCGATGTATTCAATATAAATAGTAGACAGATCAAATTTCGTGGAAGAATACTGTGGACCAGAAGAAATCAGACAGGCGTACTGTGTAGTGACTGTAATGGATTGCGTGAACGTGGCATGTTGTAGATTTCAAGTTTAATATGGTTCGATTTTTCTGGCAATCAATCACAAGAAAATTATCTGAACAGCCACAATTCTCGTGAGCACTTTTCAATCCGAAAGGGTATTTTTCTGGTGATATGGTTAGTTGTTTTGGGCTCTGTAAACTTTTAAACAATATAGAAGAAGAATTAACATGATGGAACTGGCAAATGAGAGGCTGTTTGTGGGCATAGCTACCGATTAGGGAATTCTGTGATTCTTGAATTGTGTGTCCAAGTTTGTTAATGTATCTAGTCCATTACTCTATTGTGTGTGGCACAATGACAAGATACTTCTTACTATGAACTCTCAAACCGAAGTTTCCTGTTTAGACGAAGATGCAGATTCGATTGAGATGATGTATTACTTCGTTTGAAGGGGAATTAGTGTGAAAAAAACTAAGGATTTTCTTGAAATTATAAAGGAATTGAGCTATTTGTCCCGATATGTTGACCTTTAAGATGAACTCAAGTCCCGTTAGACTGCATAAAAAATAAGGAGGAAAAAAATGATGAAAGGAAAAAAAATTGATTACTCTTATGATATGTAGAACTTATTTTACTTAATTGCACAGGGTATGCCTATCTATATAATTGATCATTTTACATTGTTGAGAGTTGGACACTTGTCCAGCTTAAGAACAAAAGCTTGTTTCTCGGCACTGATTATGCTTTTATATAATTGATTGTTTTATATTGTATTCTTACTTATAATATGTGAATGATTCATTCACCATATCAATAACCATTATTGCAAATATGGCATATCGCCCCTTCAACTGCAAAGTTATTATTTTGAGTATCATTTTTCAAAGTCAAAACTTCAAAAGTCAGATAAACTGAGACAGATGAGTTGTATAAGGTTTTAATACAACAATTTAATGATATTGGTCCAAACACGAAATGAATTGTATAATAAAGAAGATAAATGACGGAAAGATTCCCATTATAACAAAATATATAGATTTATTCTTTGTATTTGAATGGATTTTTGAATTTGAGGGATTGTTCGACAAAAATTTTTATAAAAGTTTTTGTAAATTTAATAAAAGTTGATGAAATATTTGGTTGAACAATTGATAAAAATTGTGGAACTTCATAAAATAAGTGGTTAAAATTAATATTCAATTTGACATCAACTTTTCCAGTTTTGCTCGAGTTAAGAAGGAGATATTAACCTATTTTCTGGGCAATAATATAAGAAAATGTAAAGGAACACATGCTGATTTATATTTGTTTGACTTAATATGAGAGTTACGTCCACTTATCATTCTAGGTTTCACTAAAAGTTGAAAGAAAATGTTTAGAGCAAATTACATAAATTACTCCTAAAGTTTATGACAACAGATACCTCCTTTAAAAAAATAATCAGAAACCTCCACTCTTTTAATTTTTTCAAATCTTTTTGTACAGAGTTTTTCATCTTAATCATATTTATGACTTTTGATTTCTCATTAAAAGATGAATAAATTAAAATTGATCTAAAGATTTACAACAAAAAGGAATTAAAAAGAGAATATATAATATTATGATAATATTAATGTCTATAGTATTAAAAAACAAAAATGTGTGAAAATGTTACTAAATCAAGCAATATAAAATATTTAATGAATTTTCAATTAGATTTGTGAAATATTTATTTATCTTGACTTGATAATTATTTTTAATCGTATTAAAAAAATTAAAACTAAAAAAAAACATTTTGTAACTTTTGAAATTTTATAAAAATATATATTTAACTAACTTGATATCATTTAAATCAAAAGAATGAAAAAAATATCTTAATAATAATAATAAGAAAGAAAGAAAGAAATTATAATTTGAATATAATAAAATAAAATTTTCAAATTAGTATAGAAAGGTAAAATGAGAAATAAATATTTACTTTTCGCTAAGTGAAAATATATCCAAAAGTAAACCTCAAGGGAGGTTTATGCAACTTGCTCAAAAGTTTACAAAGAATATCTCACGTTTATGTGAATCTATTTATATAAAAACGACTCACCTAATATTTGTTAAATTATAAGTAACCAAATATAAATGTCCGATATATCCACATAATAAAAAAAAAAAAAAAGGCACCAACAATCTAACGTGTCTAATTCCATAAAGTATGAATGAAATACTTTTGGGACATGGAATGGATCTATATAGAATAATGATAATAATTTTTGGCTTCCTTTTCTTCTTTGACAATATTGAGTATTATCAAATCCTTTTACCAAAGATGTGATAGCAAAAATGCTTATGTGAGGGATGAAAAAGTTGACATTGACTTGAATTTGGATCACTCAATCTGAAAAGGTATTAGTGATATTAACAAACTTCACAGAGTTTTTCTCAAAACATGAACAGATTCATAGTCTCCTTCATTTTCCTAGTACTTCACGTAATTTCAGGATTTGCTGTATCCCAAGATCATGAATGTCAGCCAACAAGGTGTGGAGATTCCGGTCCAACCATTAAGTTTCCTTTTCGACTCAGGGATCATCAACCAGAGCATTGTGGCTATCCAGGATTTGAATTGTCATGCACTGAAAGCAACGACACTGAATTTGAGCTTCAATTTCCAGTGACAGCATCAACTAACAATGTCATGCTTCCAATATTCGCGAAAGTATGGATCTGGAAAATCGATTATAGAGCACAACTTATATATATAAATGACTTCATGGCAAATTACTGCCCTCCAGGGCAGCCTCCTAGTGTGAATTCATCGATTTCCCTTTTCAAGATAGCTGAAGTTTTCGGGGTTGAAGAGGGATACACATTGTTTAATTGCTCGTCTAACTTAACAGCCAGTTATCCATACCCCATAAAATGTCTTAGTAGACAAAAATATCAAGTCCTAGCTATTTATTCGTCATATGGGATTAGCAGCTTGCCTCAGTATTCGTCGTGCTTTAAGATGTATAATGTTTCATATGTTCCATACTCTGTATTCACAGGGGAGCACCAAAAATATAGCTTTCATATGTCTCTGCATTGGTCGAAACCATCTTGTGGAAATTGTGAAGCGAAAGGGAAGTATTGTCGGTTAAAGAACAATGGAACAGAATCTGGAATGGAATGCTTCAGCTCTAAACAACAGGGACAAGGTACATTCTACATTCTAAGTGCATAGTTGGTATACGTACTTGACATTTTATTTTCTTTTTTCTTTTTTACTACTATTCACTACGCTCTAATCCACATTACCAAACATGTCATGCCATTAAAGTATTCTGTAGTTGCTCTAAATTCATCTTTTGTAATGTTCTTATTATTGAGGCCACTAAGTTCTTTAGTTCTCAATAATCATTTATAAGAAGTAAATTTAATGAGGAATATCTTGTTAATAACAATCTTCCTATTTTCACAGGTGTTTCAAGAAAACTAATTGTTGCAGGTATCGTAGTGGGCGTGCTTCTCATCTTGTTTCTTATAATCGGATTGTATATCGTCTTAAGCTTGAAGAAAAGAAAGAAAGACCATCAGAAAAAAATTGAAAGCTTTTTAGAGGATTACATGGCGCTTAGGACTACAAGATTTTCTTATGCAGATATCAAGAAGATCACTGAAAATTTCAAGAAAAAACTAGGCCAGGGAGGCTATGGAATGGTGTATAAGGGGAAGCTTTCCAATCAGATACTTGTTACCGTTAAGGTCCTAAAATTTTTTGAAGGAAATGGTGAGGAGTTCATTAATGAAGTTGGTACAATAGGCAGAATTCACCATGTAAATGTGGTTCGTTTAGTTGGATATTGTGCTGATGGATATAGACGAGCTCTTGTTTATGAGTTTCTACCAAATGACTCGCTTGAAAAGTTCATAACATTGGGAAATCAGAGCCGTACACTTGGCTGGGATAAACTTCAGCAAATTGCCATGGGCATAGCCAAAGGACTCGATTATCTTCACCAAGGCTGCAACCAACGGATACTTCATTTCGACATTAAACCTCACAACATCTTGCTCGACCACAACTTCAATCCAAAGGTCTCAGATTTTGGCTTGGCAAAGTTATGCTCAAAGGATCAAAGTATAGTTTCCATGACGGCTGCTCGAGGGACAATAGGCTACATTGCACCAGAAGTCTTCTCGAGGAACTATGGGAATGTGTCATATAAAGCAGATGTTTATAGTTTTGGCATGTTATTGATTGATATAGTTGGAGGAAGGAAGAATTTCCGCGCTGCAGAACAGGACAGTAGTCAAGTGTACTTTCCAGAATGGATGTACAGTCAACTGGAGAAAGGAGAAGAAATAGAAATCGGGATTGACAAAGACGAAGACAGTAAAATATTTAAGAAGCTAACAATTGCAGGACTTTGGTGCATTCAGTGGAATCCAGCAGATCGGCCTTCAATGAAAATGGTGATTCAAATGCTAGAAGGAGAAAACGTTCCCATCATGCCACCAAATCCTTTTGCCTCCATGAAATCAACAAATTAAATGCAACTTCACATGAAATCCTAATTAGCAGTAGCTAAGTTAAATCAATATATTGTGTTAGTCTTTTCTATATTTTGAACAAAATTGGATTGGCTTTTTTGTCAATTATTTGGCATTCATTTTAATTCTTAATATACTCCTTGGAAAGTAATAAGTCTCTTATTTTAATACAAATGCCACAAAGAAATCGAAAATATGTACGCACCTCCTTGTTTGATAATTTTGTCTTCCCTTGATAATTTATGAACTCCATATGATACAAAAATTTAAAAGCAATTTTGATTTCTTTGTTGTAATCGATTTTAATGTTCCAATTTGAATTGACTATTAACGTAATTTCACGACCTTTGTCAAGGTGACTTGCAGAATCGATAATAAGAGTAGTTCAAACACCAGTATGTGTCGTGTCCAAGAATAAAGGTTGATATCGTTCAAAGTTCGCAGTTGAGGAACAAAGTAACAACAGTGGCGAATTCATATCGGGCTAATATGGTCAGAGTCCATTCTGAGCAAGCAATTGAGATACAAAAGTATGAAGCTTTTAATCATCTTATTTGGAAAATTATATTATCATCACAAAATTTATTAAGAGCTCCACAAACTTTAACAATTTTCTTATTTCCTTAAATAGCCTTAAGTGAAATCACATAATTAGTGTTTTAAATTAAAAGAAATCACATCACATTATAGTCCCACCACAAACATAAAACTTTACCTTTGGCGCTAGAGTGAAACCCATCTGGACACCGAGAGGGGCTACTTCAGGCCGTCCACATTGACCATATAAAGGTTCAGACTTCCATGATTGCTAAAACCCTAACTATTAAATGAGAAATTGAATGACAATCAGATTATAGAAAGTAGTTTCACTATCTTTCATTGAAGAAAAGTTACCCGAAAATTATGCCTCCATTCAAAGCTTTCTCCTTCATCGGGAGTAGTGTCCTTCATCAGGACTATTAAGATTGTTGTTTTATCAATACTGGAAGATATGGACACCAGACATTTAATTTTTTTCATTCTTAGTTTTATTGTATTGAGATTTTTTGGTTTTTTAATCTTAGTTTTTGTTTGATTAAGGGTATAATTATAAATTTATTGTGGTGTATTTATTGAAATTATATTTTAATCGTGACGTGATTATAATGCGGTAATTACCCCTCTTATTTTTTATTGTGCTTGGCATACATATTTTTTATGGGAATAAAAAATTCTTCAAATGGGTATGTTCCCTTCATAAGCCCGTTCCCATTCAGCAAGCCCCACCTGCCCACCATATATAATCGAGGACTGGTGTATGAGATAAGGTATCAACCAGAGATAGCCGTTAAAGACGTCATGATAAGTCTCTCTCTTCCTTCCCCCGCTTCTTCACTTATACTCAAATCCAACCATCCTTCCCCCCAAAGAATCACCAGCAATCTCCCTCGCAAAACCCTTAATTTTGAAACTCTCAAGGACACTTTGATCAGTCAAGCAAATGTGGGCCACATCAAGGAAGCAATCTCGATCCTCGATTTCATGTCTAAGAATAGCTTCACACCAGACCTCACTGTCTACTCTGTACTACTCAAGTCCTGCATTCGGACCCGGAATTTTGATCTGGGTCGAGTTGTGCATTCCAGACTTGTGGAGTCCAAACTTGAGTGTGATTCAATTGCATTGAATTCGCTGATCAGCCTGTACGCGAAATGTGGGGAGTGGGAAAGGGCTGAGGAAATTTTTGAAAGTATGGAGGGAGATAAGAGAGATTTGGTTTCGTGGAGCGCGATGATTTCGTGCTATGTGCGCAGTGGTTTGAATTTACAGGCGATTATGACGTTCTTTGAAATGGTGAAATTTGGGGAGTACCCGAACGAATTTTGCTTTTCGGCAGTGATTCAAGCTTGTTCCAATAAAGAATATGCGTGGGTTGGGGTGGTAATTTTAGGTTTTGTGTTGAAAACTGGGTATTTTGAAGCTGATGTTTGTGTTGGGTGTGCGTTGATTGATTTATTTGCGAAGGGGTTCAATGATTTGGAGTTAGCAAAAAATGTGTTTGATGAAATGCCAGAGAAAAATTCTGTTTCGTGGACATTGATGATTACGAGATGTTCCCAATTGGGGTTACCGGAGAATGCAATTGAGTTGTTTAGGGATATGGTATTGGCTGGGTTTACACCTGACCGGTTTACATTTAGTAGTGTTTTATCAGCTTGTTCTGAATTGGGGTGGTTGTTTCTTGGGCAGCAACTGCAGTGTTGGGTCATCAAGAATGGGTTATGTTCTGATGTTTGTGTTGGGTGTAGTTTGGTGGACATGTATGCAAAGTGCTCCGTGAATTCCTCAATGGATGATTCAAGGAAAGTTTTTGATCGAATGCCAGAACACAATGTCATGTCTTGGACAGCAATCATCACAGGGTATGTGCAAAATGGAAGCTTTGAGAAGGAAGCTATTGAGTTGTATTGTAGGATGATGATAGAAAGTAGAGTGAAGCCGAATCAGTTTACATTTGCTAGTGTTTTGAAGGCATGTGGGAATCTTTTTAATGCGGATTTGGGTGAACAGATATACAATCATGTAGTGAAATTGGGTCTTGCATCAGTTAATCTTGTTGGCAATTCTTTGATTAGCATGTATGCTAAGACTGATAGGATGGAAGATGCACGAAAAGCTTTTGAATTTTTATTTGAGAGGAATTTGATTTCTTATAATGCACTTATTGATGGTTATGCTAGGAATTCGGAATCTAACGAAGCTTTTGAGCTTTATACTCATATTGATGGTTCAAGAATTGGTCTTGATGCTTTTACATTTGCAAGTCTCTTGAGCGGAGCTGCAAGTGTTGGAGCAGTTGGTAAGGGAGAGCGAATACACGTTCAATTGCTGAAATCCGGGTTTGAGTCTAACCAATGTGTTGCTAATGCTTTGATTTCTATGTATACCAGGTGTGGTAACATAGAAGCTGCATTTCAAGTTTTCGAACAAATGGAAGATCGGAATGTGATATCATGGACTTCCATAATCACAGGCTTTGCTAAACACGGATTCGCCAAAAGATCTTTGGAATTATTCAAGCAAATGCTTGATTTTGGCGCAAAACCGAATGAGGTCACTTATATTGCTGTTTTGTCAGCTTGTAGCCATGCAGGTCTAATTGATGAGGGATGGAGATACTTCCATCTGATGTACAAAGAACATAGGATACATCCGAGAATGGAACATTATGCATGCAAGGTTGATTTGTTAGGTCGCTCGGGATTTCTAGAAAAGGCCATACAATTCATCGAGTCAATGCCTTTTATGGCTGACACTCTGGTTTGGCGCACATTGCTTAGTGCTTGTCGAGTCCATGGCAATGCAGAACTTGGCAAAGATGCAGCAGAGATGATTCTTGAGCAGGATCCAAATGATCCAGCAGCTTATATTTTATTATCAAACTTGTATGCTTCAAGTGGTCAGTGGGGGAAGGTGGCAAAAATCAGAAAATGTATGAAAGAAAGAAATTTGGTTAAGGAGGCAGGGTGCAGCTGGATGGAAGCAGAAAATAAGGTACA